GGGGTAGTTAATCTGGGCAATTAAATAAGAATGGGGAGTGAAGATAATTGAATTGAATTGAATGCATGGGGTCCATAAACTCCAAACTAAATGGGTTGCAATTTTGCATTAAAAGTTTCAGAGGCAGTGTTTGAATCTTGTGTCCTAATCCACTTACCTACATATTCAACTACAGCTGCCACCTATTTATTATTAATTGATTACCCAACTAACTCATCATATTCAAGTTTGAAACATTTTTTATCTGACTTCTCACATCTCTCTAATTTTACTGTTCAAGAGTTTATGCTATTTTTTTTCCCTTTTTTACATATAATTTATTATTTCTCATGTGATAAAATCTTGAAGTTAATAGTTTTATACAGTAGAACCTCGATAAATTAATACCCGATAAATTAATAACCTCGCTTAAATAATAATTTTTTCCGGTCCCGACTCGGGGACAACGTGCTAAATTAATAATTCGCTAAATTTATAAGATAATACACATTCGAAATTTTTAAAAGCCCCATATAATATATAAATTAATAATGCATAAAAATAATTCTTAAATTACATGGTATAGTACATAATTTATAGATTTATGAAAGCTTATTACAATATAATTTAATTGTTGCTTGTTTCTTGTTGAAGTTCACATTACCATCAATCTCGTCCCTCACTTTTCTTAACATGGTTAGAACTTTCGGTATAGTTTTGTCATAACTCAACAGAAAATCGTTCTATACCATTCCTGCGTTAAGAGCTTCCGTTTGTGAAACGGACTCTATAATGCATTGAACTAATGGTACAATGAATAATATACAGGTAAAAAAATTAAAAAAATATGTATTTATTGAAAATAATAATAAAAGTAATTTCATAAATTAATAATTTATTAATTAATATATAAATTAATAATTATTAATTTATCGATAAGTTAATATTTCGCTAAATTAATGAAATTTTGATGGTCCCAACAGTATTAATTTATAGAGGTTTAACTGTATGTAGAAACTAAGATTATATGATTTGATGGACAAAGGAGACGATTTTAATAGCGCCATTGCTAATGATGGGAAGTACGAACTACATTGACTAAACGAAAGCGCAACTTCCGACAAAACAATGTGATATATCTTCTTCAATTTTGTGTAAAATGGCTTATTTAATTTAGCGTTTTGGTGTTGATGATCGTGGAATTAATAAACGAAATGCAAAGAACAACCATTCGTAGAGAGATAGGGATAAGATAGACCAAATCATATTTTTTCGTAATTCAAATCACCAAGGTTCAATTCTATAATGATTACAGGATTTACCGGCTTTGTGCTGTGAGTATTTGAATCCGATCCGAAACTGTTCGATAGGAACCACAAATGAACACCACACAAAACTGACTATAGCAGATTCAAAATTGTACCATTTAGTACTATACTCATTTTTAACTTGATAAATATTTTGTACAATAGCCAACTAACCTGCTATCATCATAATCTACTGCCAAATCAAATAAGGTTTCACTAGAAATCGGTCAAAATTTCAAACTTTAATTCACTTTCCAATGGTGAAAGGAAATGATTCTGAAATATTACATCTCCCTACATTTTGGTTTCCAACCGCAACCTGAGAATCATTTACTCTGTTGGTGGTCTTCAAGCAGGCATTGCAGAAAAGAACAAACTCTATTCTCTTGCTCTCGTACACGGTCAAAGTGAACATAGAAACTGCACTAAATTAACATGATATCTGAAAATAAGTCACCTCCATAAGCCGATACTTCCAGATTGCACGGGAGACAACATTTCAGCAGAAGACAACGTACTCTTATAGTTATATGTATGCCTGCAAACAGGAGAAACGTAGACAGTTCAGATATGCATAAGATCTGACTTTTACGAGAGAAAAATAATTCAGTCTACAGAAAACCTACATACCTACAAGGCCATGAGATAAAGAAAACACACACACACACGAGCCTTGTTAATGTGATAAAAAAAAACGACGAGACGGGAAGAACAACATTGCAACAATAAGTAAAAAGGGGGAAAACATACAAATATCTTAAATGGCGGAAACTTTAGCTTCAGTATTAGACGAATTCTTCTTCTTTTTCCTTTTGTGTTTCGGCTTCACAGCATCTTCTAACGTCTTGGATTCCTTGCTCTGTTCTTCTATACCAGATGCCTTATGCAATGAAGGTGCTGGATCTGCATCTCTAATAGATTGATCGACTGATTTCAACGTTGGCTTTACAGGTGGTACTATATCCATCTTTTCATTGGGAGTCACAACAGCTGCTAAACATGACATGAAATTATTATTTTGCCTTTTTTTTTCTGAATCATATTACTCAGGCAAAACAAAAGTTTCTGATTCAAAGTGCCCAAAAACATTACGTTGCAATGATACTTTCTGGCCATTGAGTTATGCATCATCATGCTATCTGTATTTGAAAAAATTCTTTGCACAAATGACAAATGAGTAAATCTAAGAGCCTTTTTTGCTATACCCAACTAAAGAGAACTATGTTTAGCTCTCATGAGCACTAACTTAGAGAAGTGATCAAATCCCTACGAACTAGTTCGCTATACAATCAAGTAGTGGCTATCCAGACAGGAATTAGAATAGAAATGCATACAAGGATGTGGTTTTTAGTCCCTGCCCAATTAGCTATAGAAACTAACATGCAACTATTCTCAAAAATAAAGAACGAGGGGCGAACTAGTACAAAGAAAGATGTCAATTTCGTCACTGGTACAAAGACAACAAACGAACACACAGTTTAACCATTAAATACCTTTTGAAGCCAGAGATGCCTTCAATTCATCAACATTGACACCCGTTGAATACGGATCCCTGCGACGGGAAAAGATCCAAACCGAGAATCAAGAATATGTGGTTGGATGGATATGCCTTGTTGAGTAAAAATATCCCACTTTTCTTAGGAGTCACAAAAATATGTTCAAGCCGTAGCTTCCTCAATAGCAGCTATTTGTTAAGAAGTATACATATTAAGTATTGACTAACTCGACATACTTGCACTTTGCACTGACATCTATTGTAATACCTCATTGGAGTATTATTGGCAGCATTAAGAACGTGGTTTAAATAGCGCTTGCACCAACTAATAAAAACCAATAGTTTTTCAGAAGATAGTGGAGTCTAACACAGGAAATTTTAGAAAGACATGATATATGCCGGTCAGTTTATATGATGTGAAAAATGTCAACCTGCTAGTACTTGTATGCGCTCACATGCAAAAGAACTCACATCTAATCCAATATTAGTATGGGAATATGTGGCCAACTCTCAAGGAAATTCAAGAAATGCACATTCGATATACTAAAAGATCTGAAATTGATTGGATAGAATAATGTTCTACCAGTTAGATGGTCCACCAATGGAAGTATTAGGTTTGTTATCACCGCTCCCGTCTTTCTTGGATGACTGGATTTCAATTTCCATGTCATCACTTTGATTTATATTTCTATCCTCTATCTTAATTTTCGGTTTCTCCATTTCCTGTGATATGCTATTGCCTCCCTTTGAAGCAGCTTTGCTCACACCAACTGTATCAGGGTGCCGCTTGATCTTTTTTAAAGCTCTTGCTGTGTTGTACAGTTCCACCTGAATAAACGAATAAAAACACTTCCAATCTAACCATACATAATCGCTATCATAAACTAATCACAAAAAAATACAGAAAAATATTCAAAATTCAGTAAATACAATAGTTGTACCCAATTAGCATACTTCCAAGAAAATGCTTTTCAAAATTAACTTGCCACCAATAAAGTGAAGTAATTTTCCATAAAGTTAAACCAAAAATAATGTGGCGTTTTAACATCCGAAGAAATATATTAAGGAAATACATTTAAAGGGTCATAATGGGTAACGACACATTCCCCAGAGCGCATTCTTTGATTTGCATCATTTTAACTTGGGTCATTTAAGTTTCAGGAGAATATATCCGTAAGGGTTTTTTTAGATATCAAAAACAAAAGAACAGTCAAGCAGTAGAAAAACAAGGTATTTGGAATAGAGAGTATGACAAGATAAGAGCTGTTCAAAACAGAAAATGCGAAAGTACTTACAGCTTTCTTTATTTTGCCAGTTATATCAGCAGCCTTCACAGATGCGATCCGCAAGCATTGCATGATAACACTCTGTATCACCCCTTCTCCTCCAGCCTTTTGAATAGCACAGACATCGCCATTTGTATTCAGCGTAGCAGTCAATTTTCCTCCCATAACAGCTTCTTCGAAATGTGATGGATCAATAACCTAGCAGCAAATTGAAGATGAGAAAGAAAACACAAAAATTCAAGGGGCAAAAACACATATGTAATGCATACTTACCACAGTACTCTCACTACCAATAAATGCAAAGGTCACTGCTATAGGGAGATGGTGTACAATCAACGGCAGTGGTTCCCTCACCTGCCATAACGCCATAAATCAAAATTAAATCTCAAACTCCAAGTTTGAACAACAATTCACCAACCAGAGCCCCTCATTTTATGTGAGGATGGTACTTTCGGTTATCAAGAAAGCTACTAGATGCATTAAGAATGCATTGCTGTCTGCTAAGGCCTAAAATACAGCAAACTTTTTATATAGTTATACGAGAAATACTTTTCCAATAAGCATTGTCCAGAAAAGAAATTCTTGATCCAGGAAAATTATCGCAGATTGTGTGTTACATATATCCAAAGCTGAAATCAGTTATATGATAGTTGACATGTTTGAAAATCATCTATGAAAGGAAAAGAACTTACTTCCGGTGAATGTATTATAACTTCCTGACCATCTTCTCCTCCCAATGTGCACTCTGGTCTTCTGAAAGTCAAAAGAGCAGCCAATGCAGCAATATTGGCAGCATCAACAAGATTCCTATTCTCAAGGAAGAGAGAGATGCCAATCAGTTAGGTACAAGTATAATTTCTAGCATAAGCATGTAAATCAAATATTTGGAATTATAAGGTGCGTATGCACAACTCACCCGCCATTGTCTAGAATGTGGAGATCGATACGAACAGACCACACCCATTTCCCTGCAACAACACAAAGTGATTCTGTGTCCACAGCCCTGCTTTCCCTGTAAAAAATATACAAGTGAATAACTCAAACTTTGAGCTATTTACTATTCTGTGGCATAAATATAGCAAAAGCTTAAAATACGGAAGAAAATAAAGTCCAATTACAATTTACTTTGAATTTTCAACTAAAGAAAAATGTTCAAACTCCATACAACAAAAACACAGAATAGTTTGAAGAGCTACATAACATGAACAGAGCTATAGCTTTATACATTACCTCAAACCACGATCAACTATTCGTCCCAATTCAACGGCAAATTCCCCTGGACGACCTGTTTCAAATGAAGGATCGGCCATTGGAGAGAACTCCGTAAATATTGCAAGAGATCCTTCATTGGGGCGGTCCCTATAAGGTTGTACCAGTTGGGAAGTTACAAACCCCATTATACGAGTCTGGCCCAACTGCACCTCTGATGAACCGTCTTCACTGTGCATACACACCAACATACCAAGTGAGTTGGATATCCACATTCCCATAAAAGTACCCAAAAAAATCATAAGAAAATCAAGAATTTTCAAACATAACTTTTGCAACCAATTACAAATTAAATTGAAGTGGTTACACATGCCATGCCAGCATTATTCCAGAAAAGAAAAAAAAAAAGAAAAAAAAAAAGCTTCTATCAAATTGAACTACATGCTGATTATCATAGCCAAATTGAACTAAACCAGAAGATACGTTTCTCAGAAAGCCCTTTTCGGAACACCCAAAAGACTGCTGCTTTTTACAACATATGACATGTGCAGTTAAGGCGGAACAAATGTCTGAAGCGTCGAGAAATCTTACCTACCAAACTGGATTGTGACGTTCCGGTAATCAAAAGGTCCACGACCGTCAATTCTGAGCTCAGAAAGCAGTGCTGTTTCGATGAACAACTTCTCATTCAATGTCATTTTCCACGTGTTGGCCAACCTCTGCTCCATATTTTTTGTAGCTGCTAATTCGAGCGAGAGAGAGAGAGAGAGAGAGATACACTACTTTTCGGTTACTTGGAGTGAAGGCGGCGGGGAGATGGGCGGGAGAAGAGTAGGTCAGGGCGGCAGTATGGCAAGGAAACGGAAAGTGAGGGCGGCGGATAAATGATGAACGGAAAAACCAGAGGTGAAAGTGGGAGAGAAAATCCGAACAAGAGAAAAATTGAAGAGGGTGGAATTGAAGGGAAGGGAATTAGGGTTTATGATTTAGGGTTTTTGATTCATCGTCTTGGTTGGGTTGGCCCAATTTGTCTGATTTCGGAGTGTTCTCGGGTCGCCCGGGTTCATGTAGGGTAATGTAAAATGCAATTTAATTAGGGCATCTCCAATGGAGTAAGCAAATCGGGTCTCCAAATTTTGTTTTGGAGACCCATATGAAGACCCGGTAAAATTTTCGAGTCTCTAAAAAAAAAAGTTCCACAGTGAAGGGCTCTATAGTTTTGAGTCTCTAAATTTATTTTACGATTTTTTTATATAATAATGTGATTAAGGTCTAAATTTTATTCATATATGAGGTTTTAGATAATTAATTTATATTCCATCAATCATAATTACTTTTAATACACACTTTGATCAAATAAATAAATAAATCTGAAAAGATATGATATATGTCCAAATATAATGAAAAAAGATATATACAACAATTGATCCCTGCCATTAATTATTTTATCTACATTTCTATAGAAAAATAATTCTAGCAAATGAAATGACAAATTATTAACACAAATATATGTTCAAATATAATGAAAATAATAAATACATCTTTTTTCGAATTATATAAATATAAAATAAGCACCCCTTAAAAACTAAGAAGGAAAAACGAAAAAGAAATAAAAAGTCGTGGGACCTAGCAAATAGAGAGTCTCCAAATGAAATCACATATTTAGGAAAACATTTAGGAATTTGGTGAAAGTCTCCAAATTTGCATACCCACTAGAACTCTTGTTGGTGTTGCATTTTTTTGCAGAAGTTCTATAATTTAGAGCCCAATGGAGTATAGAGCCTCCATTGGGGATGCCCTTAGGGGACAATTAATTACGAAAATCTCCCTCTTGTTTGGGTTATTAGGGGACTTTGATTGTTCTTATACATTCACCCTTATGGTGTCAAATTCAAACATAATCATTTAAATTCCGTGGAATGTACTCTAGTTTGTACTCATTTGTGTAAAAATACAGTTTCGGATGCACCACATTTTGATATATACAAGCAAAAAAACACATATTATGACCATCTTGCTTTAAAATGTAGAGCTCGAGTGGGATAAAAGGGGTACAAAAATGATAATATTCCATATAATCAAGAAGATTCCACTAATTTTGAAACCGCAAGGGTGTACGTGTAAGAAGATTTATAGTTGAGGGGATGGTTGTAATTACTCAAACAGGAGTGGGTTTTCGTAATTTGACAATACCTTAAAGGGGTAATTGTAATTTTCCCTTTAAATAGGTAACAAGCTTTCAAAATGTTGTTTATTATTATACATGGAAAACCGAAATTTTGGTATTTCGAAAACTTATACCATTTACTGAACCGAACTATTCGGTTCGGTACAGTTTTTTATCGAATTAATTCGATTTTTTCAATTAGGTAACGGTAAAACCGAAAATACATTTTCTTATTTTATAAAAGGTAAAAGTTTGTAAACTAATTAATTCTTGAATTTGGCATTCAAAATTCAATAATTGGCACTAAAAATAAAAGATGATTCTCAATCGAGTTTAATTTTAAATAATGAAAAGAGAATCAATCTATATGTATTTTGTATTTTGTGATAGGATATAAAAATATAATTATATATATATATATATATATATATATATATATATATATATATATATATATATATATATATATATATATATATATTTTGCTATTCGGTACAGCAGGGTATACCCGGCATCAGTGCAATATACCGTACCGAAAACTGAAATTCAAAAAAAATCTTGAATACCGAATCGATTTTTTGGTTTGGGCAGTGGCAAGTCCCGAATTTTGTATTTGGTACAATTTAGCCAGTTTACCGACCGAATGAACTCTCCTAAACACTAGCATATATCTCCACATCTAATTGGAATTTAAATTTTAGGATAAATTATGAAAATTCCTCTAAACGTAGGCTAAATTACAAAAACACCCCGCCCATCCATAATTAAAAAAAATCCCCGAGTTTGTTCCCCTGTTATACCAACCGGCTTATGGTGTGATTTTTCACGAAATCCTTTTTATTTCACGGAATATTCTCCAATAAAAACTTTTTCAACCGTTGCATGTACGAGATTTATTTATGCTACTTTTTAAAGATAAAATTACCCTCAGGGGATAATTGTAAGACTAAAAAGTTGTGAAAGTGTTATTTACGAAGAATAAAAATTCTGTGTAAACCGCCTGAGGGTAATTTTTGTTTTGAAAAAGTAGCATAAAGAAATTTCACGCATGCACGGATAAAATCGGCAATTGTTGGGGAATATTTCCTATAATTAAAAAGATTTCGTAAAAAAACCACACAATAAAAAGGTCGGTGCAAAATGAAAATAAGCGTCACGGAAATTTTGATAGTTATTAATAGGTGGAGACATTTTTTGTAATTTAGAGGGTGTTTGGCTAAGCTTATAAGATGTTAAAAGGAGCTTATAAGATGTTTTAGAGCTTATAAGCTCTTCCAAAGTGTTTGGTAAATTTTTAAAAAAAGATCTTATTTTTTCTTAAAAATAAGCTGTTGGAGACCAAATAAGATCTTTTTAAATAAGTACCTCTACCCCACCTTTTTATTTAAGATCTTATAATGAGTAAAAATAGGAAATAACCTCATTATCCAAACACTAAAAAAATTAATCCTAAAAATAAGACGTAACAGCTTATCAGCTCTAAAAACATCTTATCAGATGTAAGAGCTTATCAGCTATTTAAAATAAGTTTAGCCAAACACTCTCACGTAATTTCATAATTTACCTAAATTTTATGGTCACACACAAAATCCTATGTGATGAACATGGCTTATCCAGGATTGGCTGTTCTTAACTTTGCTTAATCTAACCATAGATGGTAACCCTACAATACAAGTAAACAAAATATCTTAGTCTCAACCATTAACATTTCATCATCAATATGAAATAAAGAATTGCAATATGAGGAGTTCAAAAAGTCAAATAATCTCATAAACAAATTCCAAGTAACAATTGATAGAGAAAGGGAGAAATTAAATGGGATCTTTTCAAAACAAGATAAATTATTAATTCCAAGATTCTATCCCCTTATCGATGTGGCTGCCCAAAGATTCCAATGGATCCATGAGTAATTAAAACCCCTGTCAGTTTATAAATTTGGTTGGACCCCCTTCATTCTTTGTTTTTATTCATACTTTATAATTTAAAAAAATAGCTTACATTAGTTTTTACTTCTAGGATAATATCCTAACTTACCTGTTTATGTACACTTTCGTGCAATAGTTTGTAAATTGTACAAATTGCAATAGGCTAACTATATGTGACACGCTCGGTTCAGCGACCAAGCGACCGTTGGCAAAAAGAATTCGAACTTTTGTCAACTGACACGAGTTCACTTACTCCAGACGATAAGTGAATTATAAGTCAATTGATGATATGGATTGGTGAAGTGTAATTCTTGATTAATAATGCGACTTTAAAATGAGACCCCACACTTGGGGTTGATTATATTCATCAAATGACTCTAAAGAGAAATAATGCTATCTGACGTCAGCTGATATTTATTACCACTCTTTTTACAAAGTAATTCCAACCTAATGACATATAGAAATTTGAATTTAAGAGAAAACCCTGTTTTGAGTAATAAAGTATAGAAACCACAAACTAGTGGAATCACACACTTGTGTCTTGTGATATTTCTTCAGTCACTTTTTTTTATTTGACAAAATATCATCTCAAGTGGGGTCGTGGAAATTTTCAAAAATGAAAAGTGAATCTAATTCTTGTTTATCTTCTCGTGCTTGTTCATACGGGTGTAAATGAGTCCCTCAAGCCGAACTCGTCAGATTTTTTCGAACTGCTTCGAGTCAAATTTGGTGAGCTCAAGCTCAAGTTCATCGAACTTTCATTTGATGAGCTTAAACTCGAGCTCGAGCTCAAGTCGAGCCGAACCTATCGAGTCCGGGTACAGAGACGAGGGATTTCGTTTTTTTTTTTTTTTTCAAGTTTTACAGCGGTTAAATAAACCCCATCAACAACTTCACTTGTAATATTATTATTACCATGAGAGTTGACCAAAAAAAAAAACATGAGTTATTTTCCAAAGTAGTTGTAAATCTAAAAACCTGTACCAGCTATTAACTGCCCTAACCCATGTATGTATGTAGAAGGACCACCCCCACCCCCACCCCACCCCCCACCCCACACACACACACACACACACACACACACAGAAAGACAACCTCCTTATATAGTCTGTCTGAATTTAGAAGATATTTGGCTACATAATTCCATTTATGTACTTGAGTGTCCTTTATATTGATTGTATTTCTTTTAGTCTAGTATTTTTTCTGCTCCTCTGGCCCCATATGGGACAGAAAAAAAAACAACAAACTTTTTATATGATTTTTTGATCTGTGTAGTAGTATGATCTTCTCCTGAAAAAAGAATTTCATGGTGCACCACCTATTTATCAAATTATTATTTATTAATCAATGACTGCAATTTCTCCAGTATTCTTGTTGTGTGTAGTTTTATCACTAAGCTCCACCGTCGATTCCGACGGCGATTCCGATTGCTACACGAGTCAATACTTAAGACAAGGTGATCGGGAATTCGAGCAGAAGAACAAAAAATTCTTTGAGTTCAATGAACAATCCAACACTTGGGTTGAGGTGGAGCTGCCTTACGACCTGTTTTCCTGCATCAATGGTGCCTGCAAAGTGGCGTATTCGATTCAAGAATCGATAACGAAAACCCGAGAAGGAGGAGAAGGAGTTGGTGTTTCTGTTAAAAAGGACACCCCGGGAAAGAAGGAAAGTTCTTCTTATGGATTCTTGCCTGTAAGAAGGAGAATTTCATTGAGAAAGATGTCTGAAGTATCCGTTTGGGTAACCGGAGAAAGCGGCTCGATATACGAGAGGTTTTGGAATGGATTGCGGTGGGTGATTGCTCCGCATGAGTTGCCACTAATTGCAGGATATGCAGTTTCTGTTTTTATGATCAATCAAACAATTCTTGCTTTATCCGAGGCAGGGCAATTGTATCAGGTTCGAAACTTCGAGTATTTTTGTTTGTTATTGCTTTTTTTTTTTTTTTCAAGAATTGGACTAATTGATCAATGATTTTGTGATTATTAGATGCAGTTGACTGAAGATTCGCAGCCGATATGGGCCGAATTCGTGCCGGAATTCGATAGGGCGACAAGTCGAGAAACGGTTCAACTCGCTTCTGGAGTTATCTCAAATGACAGGGAGTGAGTGAAAGTGTATAATTCATTTTCCTCAATTTAAAAAAAAACACGAAATTCGATATTACGGAAACATAAATTTCTGCTAACGAGACGTTGATATTTGGTGTACGACGAAGCAGGAGGATGTATTTCTGCACAAAGAATGGGCAACTGTTGGAGCTTCTTGGGGATGACCATCCAAGGTAAGAAGATGTTTCTTAATTTCAATTTTCGGACATAAATTTGTTTCGGCTACTTAAATTTAGTTGTGTGATTAGGTGGACGAATCACGGGCGGCCACCTGGCGCGAATGTTACTGCAATAACCGATGCTGCTTCGGTTAGACCGGGGCTTCTTTTTACTGTTAGGTGATCAGTTATTTCGGTCCATAATGAATTGATTTGAGAAGCTATAAAAAGTAATAAAAAACGCTTTTTTTTTTTCTCTCGTGTCGATTTTTTCGGAGTTCATGTTATGTCACAGTGGTGCAGGAGATCTTTATGAGTATGATCAGACTACAAAGCCTCCGTGGAAGAAGCACATCCATCAACAAGGATCGGTCGGAGAATACTCCTTGGCATCTTTCAAGGCGTGCATTATACATAGTCTAATCGGAGATCATTCGGTTTCCCTCTTCCTCTTGACTAAGGTAAAAATCCGAACTTTCGATTAATATCCGTTTCAATAAAAAAAAAAAAACGACTGCAAGAAAGTGTTTTTGTTACTCTCCGATATACAGAACGGAGAGTTAATCGAAAGGCGTATGCACCAAAGAAAATGGAAATGGGTGGTGCATGGGAATCCGAAAGGCCATCGATTAACCTCCATCACATGCATTCAACAAGACGAAACTAACGAGAATCCGAACTCGTTATTCGTTACAACTGCAGCTGGATTCGTTTTTGAGTATCATATACAAAAATACCCTGGTACAGTTTTTGTTCTTTTCATCACTATAATAATCTCGAGGAACCCATTCTAAAAATCTCGTCTTTTTTTTTTTTTGTAAGTAGGAAATTCTCAAAATCGAGATCTTGAAGAGATGAAGTGGCAGAATCATAATCACCCTCCGTATGCAAAAGCTGCCACGGGCAAATCAGGGCTGCAATTGCAACTAGGGAGAATGATATTTCCGTTGGACGACGGTAGATTAGCGGAGCTGCATTTATCGAGCCTCGGTGGAGAAAAGTTAGGCCCTAATCCTCCCGTTAGCACACGAAGAAAATCTTCGATTAAATACGTCTGGTCGTTATTAGACGCACCCGAGACTGAAGGATGGAATGCAGAGTACTGCACAGAACAAAGTGGGCCCACAAACTGCATCCTAGGCACTAAAGACGAAACAGGCGAAATCCCCGTTTCTCGATGGAGAAAGGACAGCAAAACGCAACATTATTACTTATCACCCGAAGCAGATAGTAATCCTAATCCGGGAGATCAAGATTATAATGTTATCCCGGATAAGTGGGAGATCAAGAAACTATTCCGCCTCCGTTTAATGCAGGAAGAAAAGTCGTTTTTCCTCATAACGGAAAATAATGTAATATTCGAATACTTGAACACTGAAAACACGTGGTTCTGGCTGAGGCACGAGCATTCGACGGGAATTGAAGGGGCTGTTGGAAACTATAACGGGAGCTTATTTGTAGTCGACGAAGACGGGAGTTTGCTTATTAGAGAGAGAAGTAGCAGTGATCTGACATGGATTAATTGTACTGCATTGAGAAGAGGCAAACAGGTGATCGCGGGTCCACCGTGGGACGGCGCACTCGGTCAAGCACCGAGAGCTAAACCGGAAGACTCCATTTTCTTTATCGGCAAAAACGGGAGGCTCTTACAATTCACTGTAAGGATATCGAAATAATAATATCAGCTCGAACAAAAAAAAAGTATCGTTTTTTTTTTTTTTTTTTTTTTTTTTGTTTATTACAATGTGAAATTGCAGGTAGCCCTGAGAAAGTTTAAATGGAAAGACTGTAGAAATCCGCCAGGTGTCAAAATCGCGAGCATAGTTGATCAAGAAGGGTTCAGGGGGAACATCGTGTTCGTTGTAGGGCAAAACGGGCGATTATTCCAATACAATAAAGTTACTGAATTATGGCACCAGCACTATCAGTCACAGCACTTGGTTTTATCGAGATTGCCGGGAACCGCAATGAGGTCGTCAATGTCGTCATCGAAGGGCTCTCTTTTTATACTGTCGGAAGATGGTGGACTGGTTGAATATAAATGGAGCTCGATGGAGGGATGGAATTGGATAGAACACGGATCACCGGATACTACTGTGGTCCTGGTTGGTGCACCTGGACCTTGCTTTGGAGGGAATGAACTGTTTTTAATCGGTTCGGATGGGAATGTTTATCTGAGGTATTTGGATCGAGGGGAGTGGAAATGGAGGGATTGCGGATTTCCGTATACTGCGTACAAAGAGACGGATGAAGAAGATGTTATAGACAGAAATTGTGATCCTAAGGTTAGTACATTAGTGGTGGTATATATAAATCTTTATATATGTGAAGTTTTGATCAAGAATATTTTTGGGTGGGCAGGTGTCGAATACAAGGCCGATTCCGTTTTCTGAAGATTCGGTCATATTCGAGTTGCGAGATGGCAGAGTAAGTTTTTTCGATGAATAGATGTTTATCCTATGCTTGATGCTTCGTTTTTTTCGATTGAATAAAATAATCTACTAGTGATGTTTTGATGCTGATGAAAAAAATTATTGATGGCAGTTGGGAGAAATGAGACGGGTTGAGGTCGGAAACTGGATGTGGTCGCGTATAATTGGTACTCCGTCGAGCTTATGCGTGACAAATTTCTGGGCCTCGTGGGCAATGTGAGGAAACAATGCATGTAGAAAAAAGGTAACCGGTATACTAATAGATAGCACAGCTTTTTAGATATGTAACCAAAAGAAATTAGGGCAGTCAATGTAAAAAAGAACCAGTTGAACTCTAATCTTCGCTTTTCGATATTCAGAATTATAGGATGTGTACATTGTACAGGTTACAACGATAAACGATTTGTATAGTGGCGACGGTTGGGTTAAGGATACAGCAATAAATTACCTGTTAATTATATTCGAAGCTAATTTAAATAAATACGTAATCCCATAATGCGGAGTTCAATTAGAATACTGGACGATAGATACAAAGCGATAAATAGTTGAAGAACATCATCACCAACAAGCCTGGCAAGTATCAATACAAAGGGAAAGTAAGCGGCTGAAAAAGAAAATTCTCATGAAAAAGACGATCATACATATTGTTAATTAACATTTAGCCAAGATTCACATTAGTATCTTCATCCGAAACCAAAGCCACACAAAACTCTCACAAGAAACCAACATCAGAATCTCCTCCTTGGACTCCTCGAACGATGACCACGAGGCGATCTGCAGAAATAACATGAAATTAAGAAAAGAAAAAGAAATAATAATAAAATAAAATAAAATAAAAAAACTAGAAAAGATAGTTTATCTCCGTGTTTATCCTCTAATCAATTAGAAGTTGCAGCAACAGTGCTTCTACTTACAACATGCTTTCCAGTAAGACGACACTAAATGCAAGGAGGGATCTTTCGCTCATACAAAGATGGCCCCGATTAAACAATGTGTGATGAATTTCGTAAATCTAAAGAATTTAATACAGAATCCATCGTTCAGAAAGATTCTACAAGGTTAATTCTTTATCAATTCTCAATCTACAGCATCGATATGACATGTTAAATTTTAAGAACCACTTATAGGCTTTCGTGATACCGTCAAGAAATTTCAGTAACAATATTTTTAACAAAATATCAAGATTTCTATTTTGCTAGTTAACTCTCAGCCAAATCATGGTATTTCAGAGTTATGCACTCTATATATCCAAAGATACATGCAGGCCACTATGGTAATTTGGTAGTACCGTTATTCCAATTCCTATGTTCTGCTATGAGTAATGTTGATAAGAACCTGAATTTGAGTTGGCAACGAAAGCATTTAAAGCAATACGAATATTGTTATTTTAAAACACACAAGAAACTAGAACCCATACCTTCTCCGGATGTTCCTCCTTCTGAAAGGACCTTTGCTGAATGCCCAATCAACGTTTATGATGTGAGTGAGCAGATCAGTTCCATCCATTTCACTTATAGCTCTCTGTGCCTCATCAAACTTCTCGTATTCAATTAGAGCATACCCCTACAAATCATAACACAAACAACACTTAGCAGATGAACATCTCAAAAAAAAACTACACGCTGCGTATTGCAGGGAAACATGATGGATAATATTGAAGAAAATGAGAATGACAAAGTGAAAATGGAAAAAAGCAGCAGCATCATTAAAAAAAAAAAAAAAAACCCAATTTCTTTACCTTGACGAAACCCGTACGGCGGTCGAGATTCAAATGTAAATTCTTTATCTCTCCAAATTCACCAAATGAATTCTGTAGATCGTCTTCTTGCGCCTCCTCATGAACTCCAGTAACTAGAACAATCCATCCTTCAATGGCTACACATGTGCAATAACAATTAGAATTCCCCTTCTATCGTAATAAACAACTGCAATTTCTCTGAACTAGAACAATTGTGTCATTTGAGTCAAAGCGCCTCTAATTATTATTACTAATTGTCAAACATAATTTGGAATTTTCTCGACAACAATGTTATTTCAAGCGCTAAAAATGTGACAAAATAAACATATCGTTCTTAAACGAACCATGTCGTAGGAGTAAGAACCTAGATAAATTGATCATAAAATCAAAATTCTGGAAACCTGAGATATAAATGGATTTAAAGAAATTGATGGCTAAGAGGAACTAACACCAAAATATCATGATATCGCAACCTTAAAACTATGCAAAATAGACTAATGACAAACAAAAGGAAACATGAGAAAATCGGCGCTCGAACTTTTCCTGGCTCTACCGTGCATCTCCTCCCAATTTAGAGCTTCGAAAACTCGTAACCCCACCCAATTTCTGCAACCCTAAAATAAATTTAACTCTGACGTATGTAGAAAAAAAACGTCTATCAATCAATAAGTTTGATACATTACCAATCCGCAGAACAATTTGTTCGTCATTGTTTTCTTTTCATACTACAAACATAAATAAATCACAAATCCTTATCACGCCAAACCTTAAGCACAACATAAATATAAGAACGAAACTGCTAAATTCACATACAAAACCCGAAATGAAGAAGAAAAGGGAAGACGAGCAAAGATGAAGCTGATTAGGGTTTAGAAACTAACATCGTTCGGTTCCAGGGCCACCTTCAGAATCAAGGGTGTCAAAGCGGGCGGACATACGAGCATTGCGGTCTGCTTCAGCAGCAGCCTCGTCGCGGAATCCGCGTCCCTTGGTCTTCTTCGGGGCCGAGGAGGAGCCGCCGCCGGCGATGGCGGACTTCAGGCGAGGGGTAGTGGTGGGGGCGGTTCGGTTTGGGGAGCCATCGGCAACTTCGTCGTCCATGAGATCATCTTCCTCTGGCTCGAAATCGACGGCCTCAGCTTCCACGTTCGCCATTGACGCGTACCGGAGGAGCTTCGGAATATTACTGGGGTTTAGATGTGGGCAGAGTTGGGACTTTACGAGGGTTTCTTCTGACCTATTTTCCATATTCTTTTAGTGGGTTTTTCCTTTATATATTTCAACAAAAAAAAAAAAAAAAAAAAAATTAAAAAAGAAAAAGAAAAAGAAAAAAAAAGAGAAAAATTGAAATTCCGAAATATGTTTTGGGGGAATAATTTGAGAATGAAAGTAATGTTTGTTTGTATTTTGGAAGTAGACAAAATACATTGTATCAGTCAAATCATGTTAAATGTGTTAGGAAAAAATATTTTTGAAGAAAAAAATTGAAAGATGAAGTGATGTTTATTTGTTTTTTAGTGAAGACATTTTTTACTGTAACAGTCAAATCATTTTACTATAGCAGTCACATCA